CGACCGCCAAGGACCCACTGGCGATGATGGAGTTGCTCGTGCCAGCCAGGCGTTCCTACAGGTTCCATATATCACTCCTACAGGCCACGGCCATGGTTCATTGGTCTGGGTTCTTCAACCTGTACACGCGTGAATTCGAATTCAGAAACACCCCCTCTGCGCGACCTGCAGAGGCTCGGACGTTGTCGTGAAGGAGCTTCAATCAAACTGCTCTACAGCGGTTGCCAAGTGCCAATCTTCTGGACACCTTTAAAAACATAAGAACCATCAAAGGGAGGAAAAAGCCGCATCTAGAATGCTAGGTCAACCTAGCCTCACTCGCATTGTCTTTATGTTCAATACGGTCGACTTTTCGTTCAGACTTCTTGGTGTCATAGGCATCACGCTGCGCAGCCTGCCCCTGACCCCGATCAGCCTGACTCTGGGTGGGAGTAGGGCCTCAGCACCCGCAGGAACGCCCCCGGGCGCCACACCCACACCGAGACCCTGTCGCCCTTGAGGATGAAGGAAAAAGCGGTTTCGAAACTGCAGAACCGGGCGATGTTTTGGAGAGTGATGATCTATACGCTTTGAAAGTCATCTTGAAACCCGGCACAGTCCGAAAAGATTGGCCTCCCAAGCAATGACGCCCAGGTTCAAGACTGGGAAGTGTCTGTCGGTGCAAGAAGGTTCAGCGGCTCCTTTCCTTTTGACTCTTTATCAGCATCCCCCAAAAGACCAACGATCCAGAGCCCCAGAATGGCTGGTTAGGGCAGAATGCTCTCCAACGTCGTCGCGTCCAACGAAACGTGCGTCATGAAGCTCTCCCCGAACGCTCCTCGTCTTGCGGTCGATTCCGAACCCCTCCACTTGGGAGAAACCCTCCACGGCCCCCAGGTTCGGCCGCTTCCCCACGATTCCACGAGAATGTCTGAGGGAAACCTTTGCTTTAGCGCCGTGTTTCTTCAGGATCCTCCACCCAAAATTCACATGGAGTTGGGTGCTGTTTGCTGTTTCATCCCATCCAGTGGCCGTGGCATGTGTTCTTCGGCACCCCGAACCTCGGCGCCGCGGCCGGCGTCCCTCGATCCGGTCTCGGTTGGCTCCTCGGCGGCCGCACTGGTGCGGGCCATAGGCCTGGCAGATCGGGTCGACGTGGTTCCCGAAGTCGGCGGCGAAACCACGGACCCAGTAGGGACCCAGGCTGGGACCCAGGCTGGGACCCAGTAGGTCTGCGGGGAAGACATGGCCACTGAAGGGGAGTAGCTATCAACCTCGAAACCTCTGCTCAGCCCGTCGTGACGCCCACGACGCCGAGCGCAGCTCGTCGCCTCAGAGTCGGGGCAGAGCCAGACTTCACGATGGCGGTGGACCTGTGCCGCAGAGCCGCGAGGGCAGCGGCCCGTTGGTAGAGTGGTCGGGAGGTCATCCACTTCCATTGTTAGTTGGGGGTGAGTGTTAGTATCTGTTGAAGGAAGGATTGAGATCACATGGATTGACTCTAGAGGGAAGTCTGTCTTGTTTGTCTATGATTGCGCACCAGGCCTCATCTGTTGAAGGAAGGGTTGCTGTCACATCATATAGTTTCACCATGTTTCACCCCTACTAGAGGGATGTCTTCCTACAGTATCTACGTCGACTGAAAATTCCCATCTATGATCGGTGAAGCTGCTCTTGTCAGAAGTCATTGCAGTCATTTGAGAGTGCGAGGGTGTGTAACTGTTTGTGTTCCTTCCGTTCTGGTTCCAACAGCTTTGACGAGGGAAGCGCTCCGCAGTCTGTTTGAAACATCCAACATCCGTACTTCGGGGGACCAATCAGTGGTAGCCCAAAATGGACACAGCTGAAGCTAAACCAATGCAATGTCGCAAGAGCACTCACCACACGTGACAAACGTGACAAACGTGACTACCAAAAAATCACCAAAAAGTCAGATGATGGCAGAAGCAAATCGACAAGACTTGAAACAGAAGTCGTCGATGTCTTGGACACATACCCAGTCACGAACCCTCTGGGACTGCCATAGGACTGCAGTCCAAACGGCCAGGGGTGGTGCCAGGGGGTCAATGTAGGCATATATGGCATACATGGAGTGTCTGGGTATATGTCTCTACAGACCCCAAGAAAAGCGCAAGACAGAATAGATACAAACTCTCTCCAAGCACCGAATTTCCAGCGACACGGAAAACACACCTTCGATGGCCCACAGTGGTTTTCGACGTTGACGGCACTGGTCTCAAGCGTACCCCCCCAGTTGCTCTTGAATCTTGAGCAAAGCAAACCCAATCGAGAATTTCCTGGGTATTCTGAGGCGTTCCTATGTCGTATGGCGAGTCGGGTCGAGCAACAATGACCTAGTTGCTTGGGACCAAGGGTAAAGGAACACAGGCATATTCTCGAAAGCTCTTGTTCAACCAGCAAAGCGGTTCTAAAAACTGTTTCGCGAGCTGAAAGCTGAAGGCATTCCCATCTAACTTGTTCCAACATGTGTCGCCTCCAGCCATATGATCTCTAAGCGGAATCAGGATGAATCAGGAACTTCCCATCTTGCTGCCTACCTCACTCTGCATGGGTCACCCCCCCCGCACGCTCTCGAGCCGTGCTCGAGCCGTGCGTTTCGGATCACGAACCGCGTCACGAACTGGTCGCCCAGTGACAAGGCTTGATAGCCCAGGGGCGCCTTGGATGGGCGCTCCGGAGGGGCGCCCATGCCGATCGGAGTCAGCGAGTGAGCGATGGAGGGGGGGGGAAAGCCCTGGTGACTGGTGCGAGCGAGCGTGGCAATCGAATCCAAATGGGGGTGGAGTAGCTTGACTTTGAGGGATAGCAGTCCAAAGAGAGGTAGCCAGTGACCGTTTTCATAGGACCCGTCACCGATAGGGTTACTGTCACCTGGGATAGTCTAGGTCGACAGTATCGGGTCCTTCAACCTCTATTAGGTGGAACATGAGTGTGAGAGGCTACATGGGAGACCGTGTTCGGTTTCTTTGGGCCCCAGGCCAACCAGTCGAGCGGAGCAGAGGCGAGAGACGGACGTCTCGCCTCCAGGACTTCGGAGAGGAGTCAAGCTGCTGGTTTCAGACCGCTGAAAGCTTCCAAGAGAGGTTTTTCACAGCCCATCCTATCAGCCCATCCTAGCTGTCCGAACGCCCATCCCAGAGGAAACCACTCACGGACCAGGGTCCGAACGCTCTGGTCTCGAAAACCTCTCTTGCTTCCCAAAACAACGTCCCGAGCCCGAGGCATCTTCTCACCGAGCCCTGGCTTGGCCAAAGAACACGTCCACTTGCGAGAAGGAAGACTGAGTCTCAGTTCCCAGTGCCTACCAAGAGAAGCTGAACAGCCCTATAGCGCATCCCATAGGTACCACTACAGTGTCCTATATGGTCTCTCAACCTCTCTTGGTATCTACCAGGTCTACCAGCACTCCACTTCTACAACGGTGGAACGCCGGTGGTGGTCCGACCACTGCCGGAAGCTGCAGGGCTTCCCGGCGGATTTCGCCCCGGTTTGCAATTCGGCTGCCATCGCGATCGAAAGAAATGTGTGCGTTCGCACCCGTTGGCGGTGCGAGGACGTTGGACGAGAAGGAAGAAGAATCAATGCGAAGGAAGTCTCGTCCGTGCATGGGATGGACGAGGGTATGACACGCTGAACGTGTTCACTTTTCTGAGATGGTGAGTTGAGAAGTTTCTTGAAGAAGTGTCATCTTTTGAATGAACATCGAAGGATGAGGGACATGACTGTCTCACGAGAAGAAAACACATGTCACAGGCTGCATCGATGGCAGCACCCTTGTTTCGTCAGAGCCAAGAAGAGGGCGCAGCAAAAGGCCTCCAAGTTTGTGAAGGGTCGGAATCCGAAAGCCCGTGTGACAGTGACCCACAAGCTCCAAACTTACACTTCGGTGTTTCGACCCAAAACAACACCTCTTCCGCTGAATAAGTCCCCTACCGGCCCTACCGGATCCAGAATACTACCAGCACAGAAACCAAGAGGTCTCCTTTGGAGGCTTTTGTAGACTTAACAGTTGCAGGTGGTGACCTGTTGGAAGGTCTTGGTAGAAAGATTGCACATCCTATCGTTCCATCCTTCTGAAACCGCGAAAAGCAGCATCACCCCCGTGTGCCTGACTCATAGAACCGACCTGGGTGTTTTTAGTCAATCCTCAATCGGACAGCCTCTGGGGCGTTTTTTGGAAAACTCTGGATAAATGGTGAAAGAAGTGTTTATAGTGGTTTCAGAGTTGATGGCACAGTCCCCAAAACAATGTTGTTTTTGGACCCTCATCTTTTCAAGACGTCTTGGGGGGGGCCAGTGCCATCTGTACTGAAACCAGTGTAATCTTCCGTCAGATTGAGCATACTTGTGTTGCACCTGAAACCACCCATAGAACTTCCCCCTTCCTCGGATCCATCATCATCTCGAGCTGGAGGTCTTCTTCAAACACCAAACGCTCCCTGCGGAGCTCTCCGAGATGCTCCGCCCCTGTGGGAGGCGAAGATCCGCTGTGAAGCGAAAGATCCACAGATTCACCCCTTTGGCCCCAGCCGTTGCTGTCCTTTTGTGGGGGGGCCGAACCAAGAAAAGGGTGCCCCAAGAAAATGATCCAAACCAGCTCTGGTCGTTTCATGCTTTTTTTGGGGGTAAACTGGGTAAACCTTGCCCCCCCAACTTCTTCCATGCATTCAAAACAAATGGTTCCTTCCCCATTTTAGCCAGAGTTCATGAACAAACCTTGCAGGTGCTTGCCCGGTCTGTTTCTGTTTTCGCGCCGTTCTCTTGACGGTCGGTCGCAACCCTGCAGAACCAGGGCAAGTTGTGCTCCGCCAGCGAAAGCTTGTGATGAAGATCCAGCGGTTTCAGCTCTCAACAGGATCCATCTTTCATGGATGTCCATCCAGTCTTTCACCATGCTGGGAGGCCAGCCACAAGGACTTGTTCAGATCTCCAGTCTTTTTGGAAAAAAAAATCAGTGAAGAATCGTGAAGAGTTGGTCAGTCTTTCAGATCTTTCAAGGTGAGGATCCCATTGAAGCTGTCACAGCGAATCCTCATCCTGCTTCATCCTGCTTCATCACGCCGCGCCGCGGGCGGACGCGGATGCCGCGGAAGATGCCTCGAGGCAACAGATCTTCGACCCTCGGGGTGGAAAACCACGCCTGATTCCACGCTTGATTCCACGCTGGAATTGGAGGAAGGTCGGTTCAATTCGCTACCAAATCGTCTGCAAAGGTCGGACCGTTGTTGAAAATGATGACTGCGACCCAAAAGCTACCAACAGTTACAGAACATGTTGCACCGCCCAAGACGCCCAAGACCAAAAATACGTCTCCGATGGAATTCCACATGCTTGTCAACATTCGGCAAGACTCAGAACGCGACTCGGCCGGACTCGGCGAGGGATGGGTTGAGGGTGCGGAAATATTCCTCGTTGCAAACCGCATGAACTTGAAGTGGAGTCAAATGGCTCATTGAATTTCTTAAGAAATGGAGAGGTGCAGAAATGCCGACCTCACGCATGTTCGATGATGAAGGATGCAAACTCCTACTCAGTTCCCCCCCTTCGGTGTCAATGAAAGTCGCCTCCTTTCAAATCCGACACCGGGTGTCCCTTCAACAATTAAACACCCCATGCGGGAGAAAACCAGCCAACGGCATCTTTTAGCGCCATTACCATGTCACTTTCTCTCCCCAGTCGTTCCCTCTCCCCGCGTCTTCCGATGCGCATCCAGCCTCAATCCAACTTATCGACCTGGCGGTTGCTTCGCCGCGCGGAGAGAACACCGGAAAAGACCGCGTGGGAAGGGAAACCCCCGGCACGCGAGGAACGTGACACATCCCGGGGTCAAAGAGGAACACCGGAGATGGAGATCGTCAGGCTAGAACACTGATTGAAGAGAAGAAACAAAAATACAGTTATATGTTGGGTCTATCATGGTCTATCCTATTACCAGTAACAGTGGATGATGATGGTTACTAAAGGCCTTGTTCAAAAATAGTGATAATTGTTTACTGACTGTTACAGGTAATTGGACAGACCCAAGTTATATGGCTGTGGCTCATGGCCCCCGGGATACCCTGACCCGTTGACCTACCTGGAAGGTCAAGCAAAAGCTACATGATAAACTGGTCGGGCCCCATCCCCAGACTCACTACGCTCCAGCAAGAGGTAGAAGAACTACCATTTGCCATTCCACAGGTGCAGGAGTGCTTTTGAAACGGAAGACTTAAATGGGAACTGAACTTTAAAAGCAAGGATTGTTTAAGTTGTCCAACCAAAAGCCGTGTCTGTGCCTCGAAAATGAGTCGTTTGACCGATGTCAGGGTTTCCCATCTTGGCTGCGAGCTACTGTAGGGGTGTGGAACTACAAATCGATGGCCCGGCTGAGCCTCAGGTTCCGGTGCGTGGACGGGGCAAATCGAGCGTAGCTTTCTGGATTTCTACTTCCAACTAATTACTACCCCCATGAAAACATCTCGTGCGCACCACTTAGAACAGAACCAACGGCATGCTCATCCGGCTCGAGTTCGAGTGTGGAGGGCTGCAAGCTGCCCCCCGAACGCAGACCTGCAAACCAAGGTCACCGAGGGCCAACACCCTCGTCCCGCCCCCCCTTTCCGCCTCTCCCTGGTCATCGTACAGAATGGACACGACCTGACCAAAGAGAAACAACAGGAGGACACCTTTCTGGGACAAAAAAACATGGAAAACAAGTGGTTGGGAAGATGAAACATGATGATGCAAGAATGATCAAAAAATGGAGCAGGATGAAACAGTGACATTGCGAAATCTGTTGATGAATTACGATATACTATATTTCCAGGATCACATGTCGACCCTATTTTGGTTATAACCCAAAGGCGCTGGTTGAACTGGTTGGTATTGAAAAATGAAGAAGGAGGATCAAATGTGTGGGGTCGGGTTTTCGGCTCGGGATCGGCGACCGTCAGTCTAACCTCCCTGATATTCCCAGGTTCAGTGTTCACCCTGAGAGCCCGAAAAAGGCAAAGTCACTTGACATGATCTGCCTTGGATGGCTTTTACCGACAGGCTCTTGATCCTTTTGGAACCCGACCCCAAGGGGAAAAGTCTACAAATGTCTACAACTTGTATGATTCCGGGTGATTCGTTCACCAATCGTTTACATCTATATATCATTCAGGGCAAGAGTGAGAATCTACTACTGCGGCCATTGTCTCTTTCTGGGGTCTCTGCCAGTCTGCTCTCTTTCCTTTTTTACGGAGCCTTTCGCCGCAGTGGACACTGGAACTTCACCCTGATCGGTCGGAACCCCAACGGGAGAACGTCCAGAAGTGCGACGTCCGGCTGGAGCAAAGCTGCCATGAGCAAAGGTGGATGCTTTCATCCGACGGCAATCCACTGGAAAAACTCGGACAAATACGACAGCAAAGGCCCATCCATGATCGAAAGATCACACTGCCAAAACCCACCAACCCGGCGAGCCGGGCCCTCTTCTCATCCAAAGACTTTCGGCCAGCCTATCGAGGTCCAGGAATTCAGGCTTGAACAGGGTATATACACCCTGGAAGACTCATGGAAGTGGAGTTCACCACCTGTTTGTTCAGGAAAATGGTCATCCAATGAATATTTCAAGGAAGTGTACACATCGTCCATCCACTTCTGTCATTGTCCTATGGCTCAACGGTCAATAGACACCCCCAAAGTTTGATTCCAAGTTCCAACCACCCAACAAACCGCTGAACATGGCCACCTTACCCTGCATGGCATCCGTTCCAAACTTAGGGACTCATGTAGGGGTTAACTACCGCACCATGATTTTCATAGTGAACCCATTCAAGCACCCGTCTACTGAATCTAAAGGTGTATACAAATTTCTACGTATATGCACCAGCACCACGGAAAAGGTGATGCTAATGGACACCCCTCTTGAGAAAATCACCACCCCTTCCGTGGTGCTGGCACACATCTATTAAAGAGAGTTGTTAGTTAGGCCCTGTTGGAGGTCTCAATTCACCTTGTAGAGTCGGGTGGTCTTGATCTACCGGTCACAACACACACCACGCCGTCAAACCACGCCGGTAAATGAGTCGAGTGAGAACCGGTCCTCCAAGATCGCGGTCACCTGGCGAAGCCGCGAAGCCGGTGCGTCGTTGGCCCCCTAAGCCAGCACCAGCCATTGAGTTACACCACCTGGATTGTCCAATCACCAGCTGCTAACCTATCCAACTCCCATAAACTCCCAAGAGTGCAAGGAAAGGAAAGAGGAAGGGACCAGTCCACATCTGGTGAATCGAGTGGTTGTATGTCAGGTCAGGTGTCCCCAACCTGGTCCAAGTTCTCCACCGCCTTCGAGCAGCACCGCGTCTCGCGAAGGATCCCCAAGTGACTTCGTGGGCCTTGATCTCGTGCCAAGGTCACGGTCTTCCGCGAGAAAAAACATCTATAACACTCCTCCTCCACCTCCCCAACCCCAAAAAGCTCCCTAAAAGCTCACCCACGACCCAACCGTTTCACCCTGGAACGCCCTCACTCCCTTCTTCTTCGTCTTCCCGGTGCGACGTGCTGGGTCATTCGCTTTGTCGTTCGCTTCGTGAAGAAGCCACTTCCTCCCTTAGTCCTGGTTGGACGCGGACAGCAATGAGGAAGCTCTCCTTTCCCTTCTTTGGGCTTAAAAGGGAAAACGCCGTTTTCCGTCCACGGCGGCCGGAAAGGGGGGGCTTAACCCCACCGTGGTTTCCGCAGCAGCGCAACGGCCTGGACGGTGGAGTAGCCCGTGGGAAGCTCCGAGTTGAAGTCTTCCGGCTTCGCTTCGCCCTGCGGCCGAGCGAAGCGGTTCGGTTCGGGTCACTGAGGTAGACGTGAAGCGGACGAGTCCGATGCGTTGGGTCCCCAAGCTGAGGAGTGGAAGGGATGAGGACTAGTGGGGCACACTATGGGTCAGAGGTCAGATGTGAGGCTTGCCACATGCTCCAAGCCAACTCTGGGTTTACATGCTCCAAGCAGCTCGAAGCAGCAGCTCGGCCACCCAACAAGGGCTTGATGAGGCTTGATGGGTCTTTGGGTCCTCAGCTAGACTTGGAGTTTGGAAGATGGGGGCCTCTAAGTCGGAACTGTTTTCTGGACCCCAAGTCGACCAAACTCAAGATTCCCAATTCGAACTTGGGGTCCAGGTTGACTAAGAGGACACGCATCAGACGTCACCCCTGGACCCCCAAGTTCGAAGCGATGTCTGTTTTCTGCGTGGCACGGTTCAGGACTTTCTCGGCACGAAACGGTGCTGTGAACGAACCGCGCCGGGCACGTGGCCGTTTGGATCGAGCCGTGGCTGTTGGAGCCGGTCTGGCTGGGGAGGGTTGTACAGAATACTGGTTGGAAGCTATCAGGTTGGAGGCCATCGCTAGTAGGTTGGAGGCCATCGTTACTAGGCTTCGAGATTCGTGAACGGAACTACTGCTTGGGAATGTTCCTCAAAGGACTCATCTCACGGTGATGATTGAAAGCCAGATCAGAACAAGGGCACTAGAACTGTTTAACTCAAGTTGCCAAGATTCGCAGCATGGTATCCAAACAAATTTGCACTGACAGAAGGAGCTGGTGTTCAATCTACAATCCTTACCGTTTCACCTCTGCACCTCCCGTTCCGACTGCTGTTCCATGGAGGCGCCTTGGTGATCGCGGTCGCTGCCTCCACGAAACGCTCGAAGGAGATGTACCTCACAGCAAGGAAACCGCTGCATCTGCGGAGCTGAAGGCTGGCTCACTATGTGAACAGTTGGTGATTGTGACAGTCTAGCTGCTTAGTCGTCAGCTGGCACCACCTTCATCCAAGAGCCACCCCCTTTGGAACTTCTGGAGCTTTCCCATCCAAATCCAGGCCCCGCACCCGTAGCAGCCCTGCCCCACATAGCGACCGAGGGAGTCCTAGCCGATGGCACGAATGGACCATTCGTAAAATGGGTGAGACCCCTCTTGGCCCACTTCGTTTCGGTGTCGTCGTTCTGCTTCTGCTTCTTCTTCTTCTTCTTCTTCCTGAGGGGGGTGAACTGAGAGTTTTGTATTTCAACACACACACACACCATTCATATCCTTGCTCCAAACCAGAAAGCATGTCCAAAGAAGCCGTTAAAACTGTTAAGAGGACACTCTCAAGCAGAACCAAACAATGAATTCTGTGTCCAGGGTCCATCTTCTACGAACTGCAGGATGGGGTACGATCTGACGACCCGCAGGGGATCAGCTACACAAGATCACCGAAACCACCATCTCGTGGTCGACTTGAAAAGCCTCCGTTGGGCGAAAACCGCTTGTAACCAAGAGCGTTGTCATCAGGCATCTGACAGTTCCCTGCCAGCCCTGACTTCTGGTGGGAAAACGCGGGGAGGGGGGAGGGAGAAACATCTCCAGCTCTGCGGCTCTGCTGAAGCTGGCGCATGAGACGACCGGGGAGGCCTGAAACCAAGGGCCTACCAAGCCCGAGGGACTGCATCCTGAACTGCACCAGACGGCGAAAAACGGAAACCCTCTGATGCTCGAAAAGCTGCCGGCGCCAGTCGCCCAGGTTTCGGTTTCGCGTGTCATCCGTCCGGCTTGTTGCGGATGAAGAGAGGATTGCAGGAGTTGAACCTGACGTGGCGCATTCGGGCTCTTGTGGCACATGACAGGGAACGAAAGGCAAACTGGTATGAGGTGGACCCTTTTTGGGGTCTCAAAAGACCCTGTTTCAGCGGTATCTTTTGTTCGTCACCGACAGGCAAAAATATATGCAATGCGAGGCATAGCGATCTCCTGGGCACCGACTTCGCCTAGTTTCGACCCTGAGTCCCTGTTCGGGGGTACTAGTTTCGACCCTGTCAAGTCATGTTCGGAACAGAAGCGACTATAGTTTGGGTATGTCCCATTCCCAACCTTGGATGATGATGGGGCCTGGTTGGCCTTCTCCAAAATCGTGACTTTGCTTGCTTGTTGTCTGTTGCCGGTGTCCTGGACACACCCGAACTAATTAGAGTATACTCTGATTGTTGAGTGCCTTGGGCCCGTCGCGGCTTCACCCTACCCTGGGTGATCACAAGGTCCCAGACGCACAGGGTCGAACCAAGATAAGAGCCAGCACCAACCACTAGAGACGGGATTTCTTCTGTTGGTCACAAACCGACTGAGCCGTTTTCCAGCGTAGAAGTGCCCAAAGACTACACCTTTGATGATGCAAAACGATTCCCTTTCAGATCACTTCTGGTCTTACTCAAAGAGCTAAGACCGGCCAATGGAAACTCCACGGAACCCACGGACGGCACCGTGTCAACATGACCCATGTCATCGCCGCGGGTGATTTTGGGCTCGGTGGACCAAGCGGGTTCGTCAAGTCATTGAAGTGGCTCGCACCAGGAAGAGCGCGTTTGGATGAATTCTCAGGAGGGGAGGCTCATCACTGCAGCTGGTGCATTGCAACTCTGGTGCCCCAATCAATGGTGTGTTTCGAAACATCAGCCCCCTCCAAGACGTCAACGAGTTTTGGGCAAATCAGGAAAATGTTCATCACCACTTGCAAAACAGCCCGCCCCGAGTTGGGGGAGGGAAGCTCTTCACCTGGTCGCACGAAGCCACCGAAGCGCGAAGCCACTGAAGCCACAAGCTGCTTTCAGTGGTCTGGCATCAACAACACAACTCAAAGGGAGTCCGATTGGTGGTTTCAACTGACTTGAAACATATATAGGTCATATGAGTCAGTGGGTTCAATCGCGCCAGGTAAAGGTTCCAAATCCAAAAAGGTCCGAAGAAACCACCGTTTGGACCGTTGTTTCGGCATGAGGAGTTTCTGGCAAAGGAAAAACTCACTATAGTCCTACTCCCAAATGGATGGCAATCAACACCTAGAACCCACAAGTCATGATGACCTCTCCAGTACTCTCCAGTACTCTCCATTTGGATCATCTTTAGAACTTTAGGCGTTTGTAGGGGTCACGTGGGGCCACCATGATCCCAGGCTTTTGACTCATTGCCATGGCCTAGTCATCTTTGAGGACTGGTCCTTTTTCTCCTCGGCCTGTTCAGCCGATCTCCGCCCACCCGCCAAACCCCCCGGCGGTAGAACCACGGGGCCACCGCACCCCACATCATCTTCTGCCACGTAGTAGCCACGATGCGCCTGGATGTTACGCGCTGCGCACCGCGCGCGGGCTTCAGTGCGCATGGCATGTGGGTCGGATGGGCCGAGTGGTACTGGTACTTGATACAAAACATGGATCAACATGAGAGACGCTTAGCGAGAAAAATCCGCCGGCCAGCCGGCGTGTTTTGTGGATTGTCTTGGTTAGTATAGCTTGTCGTGGCTTAGTAAAGAAAATCATTTTCCCAATTCATTTTTCTTCTTTTAATGTTGAGGCGCTCGTACTTTTAATAAAGAAAATCATCTTCCCAACTCATTTTTCTTCTTTTAA